CCAACCCTCTCTGGCCTTCCCACTGCAGTTTGACAATCAGTTTGAGGCAGCTCTGCCTCTGTATCTATTATTGTTCAAAAGTTTGTAATGGTCTTTATTATCCATGAATGAGTGAGATCATGTGGTATTTTTCCTTCATTGACTGGCTTATTTCACTTAGCATAATGCTCTCCAGTTCCATCCATGCTGTTGCAAATGGTAAGAGTTCCTTCTTTTTTACAGCAGCATAGTATTCCATCGTGTAGATGTACCACAGTTTTCTAATCCATTCATCTACTGATGGGCACTTAGGCTGTTTCCAGATCTTAGCTATGGTGAATTGTGCTGCTATGAACATATGGGTGCATATATCCTTTCTGATTGGTGTTTTTGGTTTCTTGGGATATATTCCTAGAAGTGGGATCACAGGGTCAAATGGGAGTTCCATTTCCAGTTTTTTGAGGAAACTCCATACTGTCTTCCATAGTGGCTGCACCAGTCTGCATTCCCACCAGCAGTGCAGGAGAGTTCCTTTTTCTCCACATCCTCTCCAGCACTTGTCGTTTGTTGATTTGTTGATGATAGCCATTCTGACAGGTGTGAGATGGTACCTCATTGTTGTTTTGATTTGCATCTCTTGGATGATCAGTGGCTTTGAACATGTTTTCATATGTCTCTTGGCCTTCCTTATGTCCTCTTTCAAAAAGTATCTATTTAGGTCCATTGCCCATTTTTTTTATTGGGTTGTTTATCTTCCTTTTGTTAAGTTGTATGAGTTCCCTGTAAATGTTGGAGATTAGTCCTTATTGGAGATAACATTGGCAAATATGTTCTCCCATGCAGTGGGCTTTCTTGTTGTTTTGTTGATGGTTTCCTTTGCTATGCAAAAGCTTTTTATTTTGATGTAGTCCCATTTGTTTATTTTCTCTTTAGTTTCCATTGCCCTAGGAGCAGTATCAGTGAAGAAATTGCTTTGGCATATGTCTGAGATTTTGCTGCCTGTGTATCTAGTATTTTTATGGTTTCCCGTCTTATGTTTAAGTCCTTTATCCATTTTGAGTTTATTTTTGTGTATGGTGTAAGTTGGTTGTCTAGTTTCATTTTTTTGCATGTTGGGTATACTAGTATTTATGTCAGTCTATTTCTGGGTTTTCTAGTCCATCATTGTAGCTGCACAATAGCTCAATATGGATAAATTGATTACTCTCATTTTATTCCTCTTTTTTCTTTTTAACCCTCACCTGAGGACATGCTTGGAGAGAGGAATGGAGAGAGAGAAACATCCATGGGAGTGAGTAACATCGATCAGTTGCCTTCCATATGTGCCCTAACCAGGGATAGGATCTGAAACCCAGGTATGTGCCCTGACTGTGAATAGAACTGGCAACCTTTTGGTGCACAGGATGATGCCTAAGCAGCTGAGCCACTCCAGCTGGCACTTTATTCCTCTTTTTTAAGATTGTTTTAGCTATTCTAAAGCCTTTGCCTCTGCATATAAATATTGCAATAAATTTATCTAAATCTACCAAAGATCTTGCTGGGATGTCAGTAGGAATTGCATTAAATGTATAGATGGTTTTGGGGAGAATTGACATCTTTACTATGTTGACTCTTCTAATGCACAAACAGTATAAGTCTATTTATTTATTGAGGTCTTCTTTGATGTCTTTTATCAGCATTATGTACTTTATAACATACAGATCCTGTGTAAGTTCATATCTAAATATTTTATTTTCTTCAAAATGATTGTAAATGGTGTTGTGTTTTCAGTTTTGGTTTCCACATGTTCACTGTTGTTATAAAATAGAAGTTATAGAGATATGAATGTAGTTTTCCTTAGAAACACATATCATAAAATATATGGTTCTTGGATTAGCTAACAAAACCAGATTAAAACTCATAATAAAGCTGATATAATGATCAGTTAGTAGAAAGAAATAGTAGATTACCATATTGTTACAATACTAATCTATAATAATAAAAGCATAATATGCTAATTAGACTGCAGAGGCGGTTAGGGGTGATCAGGCAGGCAGGTAAGCAGTTAGGGGCAATCAGGCAGGCAGGCAGGCAGAGTAGTTAAGGGGCGATTGGGCAGGCAGGTGAGCAGTTAGGGGCAATCAGGCAGGCAGGCAAGTGGTTAGGGGCGATCAGGAAGGCAGAGTGGTTAGGGGTGATCAGGCAGGCAGGCGAGCAGTTAGGGGAGCTCAGGGAGGCAGGCAGCGTGGTTAGGGGCAATCAGGCAGGCAGGTGAGTGGTTAGGGGTGATCAGGCAGGTGAGTAGTTCGGGGCACTCAGGTAGGCAGGCAGAGGGGTTAGGGGTGATCAGGCAGGCAGGCAAGTGGTTAGGGGTGATCAGGCAGGCAGGCAGAGGGGTTAGGGGTGATCAGGCAGGCAGGCAGAGGGTTTAGGGGTGGTCAGGCAGATAGGCAGGCCAGCCATTAGGAGCCAGCGGTCCCGGATTATGAGAGGGATGTCCCGACTGCTGTTTTGCAAGAGGGTGCAGTCCGGGCTGAGGAAACCTCCCACTCCCTTGCATGAATTTCGTGCACCTGGCCTCTAGTATTGAATAATAGCAAATGAGAAATAGTTACTTATCAAATATCTTGAAAATGTCTAAGTTTAGTATAAATCTAGTTCTCATTTTAATTTTAATTCATAATATATGATTTTTTAATTTTCTTTATGGGCATATCATGAAATCTATTCTCATGCATATCAGGTCTGATTACTGTCAGTTTTTGGAAAGAAGTGTGTGTGACAAAAGTTTCCTGAGTCCAGCAAATAGCAGAAAAATTTGAAGAAAGTATTTAAACAGATTGCACAGGTAGAATTAACTGGGTTTGGACAAAGACAAAACAGGCATCTGAGAAGAATTAGTCTTTTAGACTCTAATGCATTAATTTAGGTCAGTTTGGTTGCTCTAGGGAGCAGTGAGCCACAACTTAAGAGGCATCCAAAAGTTAGATGTTTATTTTATATGATTGAATCTTTTTAAAGAAAATAACTGCATTGTTACAGTAATAGTGATTTATTTTCTCCTCCTATCTTTTCTTAAAAACCCAATGGGCAACTTTTTTACATAAGTTTAGATATATTTTTATTCTGATTTGTTCTAGGAGGAGTTTAAATCAGCTTATATAAATATATCAAGCAAGACCAAATAAAATTAAAAATTGATGAAAGGCAAAATTGATCAAAGAGAACTTAAGATGAGGGCCAGGACTGAGATTAGGAAGCAGAAGTCATCTCGTGAAATTTTAATTGTCATCTTGAAATGAGTTAAGAAATTTGGCTTGGACAAATTGTTTTTAATCCTTGCACAAAATAGTCAGGAAGCTGGTGTTTAATTATTCAGCTGTCCAGGGTTTCTGCCATCTTTTCACCTGGCTCAAGGACTGTCTGCTTAGGGGGAGGCATTGTCCTGCAGGGTTAATTAATAACAGGAATTCAGATCCCTCTTTGGGAGGCCTCTGGTGACTGATGCAGCTGGTGGTCTGAGAAGGGACACCCAGAGGCATAGGACCCAGGCCTGATGGCATGAAGCACAGCTTTTGCTATAGCCCAGAAGCTCTGGCTTTGTGATTATGAAGTTAGGATGAACAATTGAGACTTTCTTTCATTCTTTCTAACAATAAGGACACCTACCATTGTAAGTATTTTTGTAAGCAGGGTTGTAATTTAGTTTTAATATCTAAAAATGCAAATAGCTTTTTAAGAAGTGGTTGTGCTTGATAGGTTTTGTTTGTTTGTTGTTTAGTTTTGGATTTTTGTTTGTTTTTAGTTAAGGTTAATTAGTTAAGGTTCCTTTGGTTTTTTAGGTGAGCGACCTGAGATCCATCTGAGGATAGATCTTACCAGTTCAGGGCTTTGTCTTTGGTTTTAAGACAAAATATTTGTATTGTTTTAGAGAAAGTATTTCTAGCACAATTCCTTCTTCTGATGACTCATTTTCTACAATTATTGGAAGTAGGAAGAAATCCACAGATGTCTAGACAGTTCTAAACTTGTAAATAGACCCGTGCCATTCTAGCATGTTGTTTCATGTGCATACATATATATTTTTGAATGGTTGGCTGCTGAGCTTTATCAATGATTATGTGTTGTTGTTTTTTAACTCAGAAACTAGAGTTAGACAAATGTGTGCCCTCTCCATTCTGTACTGCTGTTAGCCTGTTCAATAGATGGGTGTTGCATTTTTTTATTTCTCTATATAAAAAGCTGAAAGACAATGTGAACGAATTCATTGCATTTGAGGTAGCTGCTGGCCAGGCCTGTTGCAACAGCTGATGGGCTTCTCTGAGTTCCAAGAGCTATTTTGGTAGATTAGCTGGAATCAAGGCTCTCCAGTTCAGACCATAAAAGGCCGGTCCCCTGCGAGTTGCCCACTGCTTCTGACTGTGTCCTCCCAGGCTGAGTGTCCTCAGGTTTCACGTGGATTTACCCAGTAATGGATGGCCACGCCAAGGCCAGTTTGGGGAAGTTGAGTGTCAAGGACACCGGGGGACTGACAACTTCAAAAAGAAGATTCTTTTTAATCATATTTTGGCGATCTTTTTTCAGAGAAACTTTTGGGATGTAGCCTTCACCTGTGTACTGCAGTTGGCACCCAAATGCCTTGTGGAGAGCACCGTTCTAAATTTATCCTGTTCTGAATCATCACTTCAAATAGATGCACTTGCCTGGTTTGTGTTGTGATATTTGATTTTTTTACAGTCTTTCTTAGCTTAACTTTGGATATTTTACTTTTTGTTTAGAATTTGAAAGTAGTGTTCATTGAAAGGAGGAGACCCAAAGAAAATACTGAGGACACCCCAGCCAATTTGTGGATATACTGTGTTTTGTTTTGTTTATTTTTTAATTAGAAAAATAAGGAAGTACACTGTGATCCTCCCCTCCCTCTTTAACATAGAGGAACAAGGATTATACAGAAATTTAAAGTAAGTGAAAAATCTTCCTATAAATCTAAATGCAATGGTTTCTCCATGCTGTCTGTCTGAGCGTGCTCCCGAGGCTGTGTTGACTTTGGGCACTGGCATGCTCTGCCAGGGTGTGCTAGCTCAGGAAATTACTCCTATAGGTACCATAGGGCATGTCTTTTGGTTGTGGAATGAGTGGATTTTTTTTTTCTTAAAAAAAAAAAAAGAACTTACTTTATAGTACTGATAGGTTCATACTAACAATATGATATATATTAATAACATAATATGATATATATAAAATTTAGTAACTACATTCTGTCTAAATATTAGCACTTGAAGCCTTGGAATAAAAAGTGTATTTACAATACAAAGTATTTCAATGATAATATCTCAAGAATGGGGATGGATGTCAGACAGGCAGGTTCTATTTTGTTCCTATAATTAATACATCTGGAAATATAAATAACCAATGAGCTTTTTGTGTGATCTTTGTTTTGAGAATTCTTTATCTTGGTACTCTGATTCTTCGAGTTTGATTTATGGAACCTTTGATGTTCCAGAATTTATTTTAAAAAATGTGTTAGTTTCTAGATTTTGAACCATATTTCTGAATTATCCAAGAAAAAATGCTGTATCAGACTTTTTAAGCCCTAAAGATGCCTGTGGTCTGTTTGTAATTTAGCTTGGTGATTTGCTTCTGCTAAAAAATAGCAATGAGCTATCGGAGAGTTATTTTACATATTTCTCCTTTAAAAGAAAAGATTATAAAAAAAAAAAAGAAAGAAAAGATTGTTTCTTTATACCAAATCAGATGGACCAGTAGGAGCAGTAATTATTTTTATAAGGTAGAAAAACAGAATATTTATAGAAATGAGCTTCATAGGTTAATACTGCTGTGTTTCTTAACCAAAGGTAGTACTACAACTTTGACACGCATTTGGAAATGCTTGGGGTGTTTCTGGTTTTCACAACAATTTACAGGGAATGTGGTTAAGAATTGTAAATGCCCTGTAATGTGAGACAGTCACATAAGACAAAGCATTGCCCTGGCCCAAATGCTGGTAGTACCCTCTGGTCCCCCAGGACAGCAGAAGCAGCAGTGGGCTGGGATTATTTTGGCTGCCTCTTCTCACCAAACCAGGAGAACTCTTGAGGAGCCAAGCAGTTGGGTGTCCTGCCAGGAGTGGATCATCCTTGTCACTCCTCTGAAGAAGAGAGGTGACGCAGATAGGCAGAGAGAATCCTCAGGAAACTGGGAGCATAACTTTCAAAGGAAATTCGGTTAAAGCACCCTCCTTACATTACTTCATTCAACAAACCAGATCTTTGAGACGCACCATTTCTGGAAGATTTTGAATTTCATTCAGAATGAACTTCTTTGGCAATATCTGGGGTTATTAAAAAGTCTACAATTGAGGGATTATGTCCAAAGAAAAGGCAGCACAAGTTCACTGGTTCATGGGTTCACAGAGAGCTGTGGGGATGAGCCACCAGGGACCTCCTTTTATTATTTCGATGCAAAGAAAGTGTCTCCTCACTGCTTTCTGGACACTCACTGCGATTGTATAATAACGCACACACCTCAGGGACCTCCCTGTGACCAGGAGAATTCCCCCATCTGGAATTTCCCACAGTTCCCAAAGAGAGCTCTGTCTCACTTATGAGGCTCCTGATTGTAACTGAAGCAGAAGTCATGCTGTCACCTTGACTCCTCTCCCAATAGTCACCAAGGCCACTAAGTTTGTCTCTGAAATCATGCTACTGCCTATCACCTCCTCCTGAGCCTCCTTGTCTCTTACCCCTGATTGCATTGCTCTTAAGTGGTCTTTTTGCCCCCAGGTTCTCTGCTGCCCAGTCCATCCTCAGAATGACCCTCCTACACAAAGATCTGAGCGTGTTGCTCTGCATGTTGTCTTACTATTACAAGCCTTGTGGTTTCTCACTGATTAAAGGCTACAGCTCAACTCCTGAGCCTCTTTCAGTCTTTGATGCCACTGTTTTTGCTGGCACCCCTCCCTGAAGTGTTCTGCCTTCCTTTGCCTGTCAGGGAGGTCGTAGCAGATGAAATCTTCTCAGAAGCTTCCTCTGACCTTCTGCCTCTGGGCTCCAGTCTTCTTGCCACCCCAAGACCTAGCCCAGTGCCTGCTGCCCAGCGGGTGTCCCACAAATGTAAGTTGATTGAACCGAATTGCATTGGAAGGACTTGTGAATTCTTCATATCAAATTTAACTGTACTCCATAAAATGCTTTTGCCAGTGTTATATATTATTCACTATAGAAGTGGGTGTTCTGTGTTATAAGCTGTGTTTTCCCCCATAACTAATAATGCAAAGAGAAACATTTGTCTTACTATTACAAGCCAGATAGGGTTTATGTATGTGTGCTTTTGCCAACACAGGAAATGAAGGTACATTCGATGAAATCAGCCACTTCATTACTGGAGTTTTGCCTAAAATGAAGGAATTCATCTAGTGCAGTGGTCGGCAAACTCATTAGTCAACAGAGCCAAATATCAACAGTACAACGATTGAAATTTCTTTTGAGAGCCAAATTTTTTAAACTTAAACTATATAGGTAGGTACATTGTTATTAACTTAATTAGGGTACTCCTAAGCTGGCCTTTGCTAAAAACTTCCTCAATCTGATTGAGGTACGTTCGCTGAGGTCGACCCCTTCCAACTCTCCCATCCACACTCGTCTTGTATACTTGTTTCGTCTATCTCCTTTCCAAAAACCGACTTCTGCGCATGGGCCACGAAGTTTCAATCGCACTGTACGTGCGCGCCTGCATGTGGTATTTTGTGGAAGAGCCACACTCAAGGGGCCAAAGAGCCGCATGTGGCTCACGAGCTGCAGTTTGCCAACCACTGATCTAGTGGTGTGATTTCATTTATGTACCTTTCCCAAGCATTATACTTTATCCTTTACGTAAAACATCTCAGAGTGGTTTGCCCTGCTGACCTCAGAAGGGAAGCCTACCACCTTGATGTCTGTTCAAAGAGAGCTCTGTCTCACTTTCTTATGGTACTCCTGTTTTGGGAGGTTTTGGAAGAGGAATATACTTCGCCTCATAACTTTATTACTCTCTTCTGAAAGTTGAGCCTTTAATCCCAAACAAGTTCTAAACCTATTTCTAACAGGCTTTTATGTCAGTATAGTCAAAGAAAGAGCTTTAATATTTGCTTTGGGATAGTCGATTTACTCAGGTCACAGTACTGGATTCATTTCAGCAGGTTAAGTGCTTCATTATTGCACACCTGTGTGCACATCTCCAGGTTGGATGCCTTAAGATGAACACAACTGAAGTGTGTTCCCTGTCCTTGGTGAACCCCCTCCCAGCATGGGTTCAGACATAAACATGACGAAGCTATTATACAAGTAGGCTGGAAGCGATGAACAATAATAACATGCCATCTATTATTACTATATTCCAAGCTCAATGCCAAGCTCTCTACCTACATTATCTTATTTAATTTTTTACAGTGGCACCTGAGAAATATTACTATCATTATTTCCAATCTACAGAGGACAAAACTCAGGTTTAGAGACACTTTCCCAAGGGCTCATGCCATGGTGTCAGGGTAGAGCTGGATTTGAACCTAGATATATCTACCTTCAATGCTCATATTTGTAGCCACTGCTTTAAACCATTGCTTCTCAAACTTCAGTAGGCATCACCTGTGATCCTGTTCTGATGCAGTAGACCTGGTAGAACCAGATAGCAGCAACCAAGCCCCCAGGTGAATCTGATCCCTCTGGTCCGAGGACCGCCTTTGAGTAGCACTCTTCTAAATGACTCCCTTGCAGAACCACCAAGTTGGGAGGAATAAAGTCAGATGGGGATTTGAAGAAGGCTTCCCAGAGATAGAGGTGGTCTTCCAAGGCTGGTCTGTTCCTTTGTGCTTTTCATGCTATCCCTCCCTGCTCTGCCCACACAATTGTTCCCCATTGCTCTTACTTCCAGTTTCTGCCTTTCTCCTGGCTCTTTCTCCTCGTTTTGAAAACATGCTCAAGTTTCCTTCATCCTAAATAAAGCTCTCCTTGACCTCTTGCTATCACCTACTTCTTTCACTGCCTATTCACTCCTCAACACCCACAATTCAGTGGGCATTGCTCTCCAAGACATCCCAATTGCTTTGATCTTCCCGAGCTTTACCTCTGAGCACCTCTTTGTATGGATTCCATCTCAGGTGTAGACGGTTGACGGGCTCTGACCTCAGCACTGAATGTCCATATACTGCAGAGCTATCCTACCAATAGGCCTTTATTTTCTAAATCATTTTCTCTTCACTTGCTCAGCTCTTTATGCTGTGAATTATATGTCCTGTCCATTTCAGATGGAATATATTAATTTGGACTTTATAGCTTAGATTATTTTTTTAATTAGAAGTTGTTCACTTTTACTTAGCTATGTTTGGATTTGTATCCTATATAACCAGTATTGATAGAAGAATTATGTATAAAAAAAACAAGTGGTTTCTAAGAGAAGACCTAAAGGGCTTTTATAAATAATGTACCTACAATTTGTGGACTGTTTCTTGATTAATCAGAGGTCTCTAATTTCCTTCTGGATTTTTAGTTACCTCCCAAGTACAGAAAGTTGGAAAATAACATAGGCTTGGATATAAACTATCATTAAACAGAAGAATTATATTGATATTTTTATATTTTTAAGATTTTGAATACTTTAAATATTTTAAGGCCCTGGTCTTTGTATACATTCTGGAAATACTATATCTAATTTCTCCCTTTAAACCAAAATTTTAAAATATACACATGTTGTACTTGCACACTCAACAATAAAAACAAGCCACTCCAGCCAAAGACTCAATTAGGAAAGCAGTTGATTTTCAATAGCGAAAAATATATCAAATTAAGAAGTCGGTAGGTTATGAAAGGTAAAATAATTTTTGAAAGTTTTAGTACTGTTTTTATATACAGATTTTCTTAGAAAAGATAATTTAATTTACCATGTACTAATGATCACAGAATTTTGCCAAATTCATCTATTTTGCAATTAGTTCATTCCTTTAACAATTGATATTATGAAATCCAAAGACAAATTACATTTTAATGTCTATTATTATTATTTTTTTTTAAGTATTGCTTTGGGTACCTAATGCAGCTGATGACTCTATAGGTTTGAGCCAGGTTAGAGAAAAAAAAAAGGTGGGAATGTTAAGGTTTATGGCTCTCCAAATTATTCTCACAGTCCTAATTTCTACCAGATGCTCATTTTAGCCACATATGCATAATCATTTGGCTTTATCATTTCATACATTTTTGATGGAAAGTGTTGAATATTTTAAAATTCTGTGAGTGGATAAATATTGTAATGCGTTGGCTAGGATGAGTAAGCTTCATGTGATGCATAGTACCTCTAACAGTATTCTCCCATTTGAGATAAAATTTATTGATTTGGGTTTGTATCAGTTCTCTCTGGAGGCTTCAAGGCGCTTTCAGGGAGCTAACAGTTCTTAAATATTTAAGGGAGTTACAGTAAGAAGTGGAGTGGGGAACACATGGGAGGAAAGTAATATGAAAGGATAGCAAACAAGCAGTGTGCTCTACCCAGCCTCAACCACCTCCCAACGCTCCCAGGAAGTGTTTTCCCTGCTCTCAGTGGAGGAAGAATTTGGAAATTGAAGGTGTTTGACCCTGAAAAGTACTTGGGAGCAGCCCTGATCTTAATAACCAGCTGTGTGATCTTGGGTAAGTTCTTTTTTATTATTATTATTTTTTTAATTGATTTTTTACAGAGAGG